ATATATATATATATAGATATATATATATATATATATATATAGATATATATATATATATATATATATATATATATATAGAGACTCACACAATGTTTATTTTTTGAAATGATTTTTTATTCAATAATCAAAACAATTCAAGAATATATAATTTAAACAAATTAAGTGTTTTTTTTGAAATGATTTTTTTGTCAAAACAATTCAAGAATATACAATTTAAACAAATTTTTTTAAAGCCTTTTACTTTTCAAAGAACATTAAATTTGTTACATCTGCTATCTTCTTTGTTGTGATGTCCAGGTCAGCTGTTATAAATGCCCAAAGCAAATCATTTGTATAATATTTACTGGGCATTCTTCTAGATTTTCCTCAAAGGCAGGCCTTCACCACTTGCAATACAATTTTCCTGTTAATCAGTATCTCCCAGGTTAGAATTGGAGAATACTGACAATTTTATAGTTTCAGAAAAGAATTGTAGAGAAATTAGTTTGTATGCTGTTGAAAATTTGACGACGTTATCATTTTTTTGTGATAGAAACTTTGAATTAAGGAATCAGATAACATTCACCCAAATTTGATGACGTTATCATTTTAAGATGATAGAAACCTTCAATCAAGGAATCAAATGAAATTCCTAAAAATGGGAAGTAAGCTAAAAATTAACTCTTAAGCTAAAAAATTCCTTCATTCTCTTCACATGAATAATCAGTGTTTTTTTTTTTACAGATTATAATCATGATTTTGTTTCTTTTCTCTGCCGTTTTCAGTTCCTCTTTACAAATGATATGATCACTGGTTCTTTTTTTTAGCTTTTCAACAGCAACATCCTAACATTCTAAGATCATGAGATGTGATGTACACCTGAAGAGGTTAGAATTCATATCAACCAAAACATTGGTGCTAAAAAAGAACAATGATAAAAGTTCAAACAATATACAAAATGATAGAAAGACATCATCTTGGAATCTGTCTATATTTCTGAGATGAGGTATTATGTACATTATCTACATTATTCGAACTATTGTCCTCATCTCTGTCACCATATTTATTACAACATTTCAGCCGTTGTACGCGCCAGCTTTCTTCAGGTGGTTGGAATGTCGAACTGAACCCTTTATTTCGCTCACTGGGGTAAACATGGCACGTGGAACTAGAATAGTCTACCCCAGTGACCAAAATAAAGGGTTCAGTTCGATATTCCAACCACCTGAAGAAGGCCAGAGCGTATTATGGCTGAAACGTTGCGATAAATATGGCGACAAAGATAGGGACAATAGTCCGAATAATGTAGATAATGGTCATCTTGGAAATCAGAAAAGAATTTTTTTGTAATGACTGCTGTAAAGGTGAGCATAAATTTGGGAAAAGAGATTGTAAAATCTAAAAAATAGAGCCAAAAATAATTTTGGATAAATCAATTTTGTAAACTCAACATCCAAATATAATAAATACCATAATTTATTACTTTTGAAAGCTACTCCTGTAAAGAGTCTGTATTTCTAATTTACTAAGACAACAACAACAGACATAGTCTGCCTCCTTTGCTCAATTTCAACTACTTTGCAAAAATCTGTGAATATCATTGTTTTAAAAAAACAATATCAAGATGGAGGAGGTGGTGAAGGAGGCGGAGGTATCAAACAACAATAACAAAAACACTGTAAGGAATAAATTAAATATCCCAAAAAAGGATGAATACTGTTTGCACTAATTCGCACCATAACGAAAACATGGGTACATCATCATCATCATCATCATATACACAGATCTAAAAATCAATTATGATACAATCGTAAAATTGCATCCCCAAATTTTTATGAGATTTATTTGGAAATGGAAGGTTTTAACTGAGTGAAGTAAAAAGAATTTTTTTTTTTTGCTCTAACTTTAAAAAAAAAAAAATCTCCCATTTTCTCCTCTCTGTACAAGCCTCACCATTGTCATTTCTCTCTCTCTCTCTCACACCACCCAACACCCTGACTAGTGGAAAGGTGTGTAGAATTGGTACAATGTATTATTATAAAATAAATTGTTCAATAGAAAAATCAAATATTGTGATTTCTTCTAAACTAAAATTAGGAAATACAATCAATCAAGCACAGACAAAATAACAGATTATTATTGCAATAAAATGCATTTTTTTGGAGTTTGTAAATGATAAATAAATAATATATAGTATTTAAACACTAGAGTTGGGTATTTGCTTTAGAAGAAAAGACACAAATTATGACAAATAAGACAAAAATAAAAAATATTTGATTGGAAAAAAAAAAAAAAATTTCTCCAGCTCAATAGGCATTGATCGAAGTTAGCCCCCCCCCAGTCAATGTGGAAATTTTTCATTTTTTTTTAATGTAACGAGAAATATGGAACATAATATTGATTTTTTTAGTTGTATTGTACATACCAGAGTTTGATTCTTTAAATTTTTATGCATCTGCATAATTTTAAAGATGTATTTATTTAAAAAAGCAAGCAGGAAACTGAATTTATGACTGGTGTACATTGCAAAAATGGCGGTTTATTAAAAATTATTAAAACAGCTTTTTTTATTATTATTATTATTATTATTATTATTACTAAGAGTGTACCTCGTGTAAAAAGGTTTTGGACTGGAATCATAAGTTATGACTTAAAAGTAAAACTAGGGATAATTTTCATTGCCGCGTGAGTAAAACTAGAATTTATTTTATGGGAATTAGAACAATTTCATTAATTATTTTATGACTTGATTTCCAACTAGGATTGATCTGACATTTTTGTTATTGAACTGAGAAAAATATTTATAATGTTGGCAACTGACTGAACATAGAAAAAAACGATGAATTATTAATAAAGCATAAAAAAAAAGAAAAACACGGAATGAATTTCAATAATTGTCCTTCGACTTAAATTCTTCTGACAATATCAACATTTTTTCTTTTTCATAAAACACCATGAAATATTTGACACCTGTTCAAAAATAATTTAAATATTAATGATAATTTATAAAATAAAAATAAAATGGAAATGAATCCGTTTTTTTTACTTTGTAACAGACAACTACAGACAGATGAATGTTCCTCTTGCTTTCACGTGGCAATTAATGAAATCAAAATACTCTCAGTAAGAAAGGAGTATCTTTTTTTTTTTAAATCTTTTTCCAATCTTTGTGAAAAATATTTTGGAATATGAGATCGTAAAAAAAAAAAAAAAGAAAGATAAAAAAATGAAATATAAAAAAAATCTCAACTGGTAAAAAAAAAAAAATTAGAGAAGAAGATGGTTTAAAAAAAAAAAAAAGTGATAGAATTTTTAAATTCCTGAATTGAAATGAAAAGTAAACGAGGTTATGCGAAAAAGGTTGGCACAACATAATCTTGATCACTGTAGATGACTTCTTTATTTTGCACAAATTTTCACACATTTCAATGTTTTAGAGACTACTGTAAAATGGCATTTTTTATTCATGTAAATGATGATGTCACTTTATTAAAATTAAAAAGGAATTTCAACACCGAGAAATCGTGGATCCTTAAGAATAAAATTAAGAAGAAAAGCTGTTAAATTTCCAAATTAAAGAATTTATTCAGTGTGGAAAAAAAAGAAAAGAAAATAGAAGAAATTGGCAAAAGAAAACATTAACTTCCATGTGAAAGAATGGAAATTTAAAACAGAATTTTGTCATTTGAAGCAAATTTATTTTTAGAAATTTCAGCCATTGAGTTAATTATGCAAATGCGTAATAAATAGTTTCAGCGAAAAATTCGTTTCGTTTTTAATGAGATTCAAATTAACTATGGAGGGTTGATTTGTGAACAGAAAAGTCAAGTATTTAACAAAAAAAAAAAAAAACTGGTTAAAAAGATTCGATTATTTTTAGTTGTATCGCCACAAAATGATAATTTTTAAAATAAATGATGATAAAAATGATGTCGCACCTTATTCCAATTGAACTGTAAAATTAAAAGGAAGTAAAGCACCATTTTTCAAAGATATATGCTATGCAACAATCCCCCACATTTAAAGGTGTAGAAAAACTAGAAATCATGTTTTTTTACGATTGTTTCTAGAGTAGCGATTCAATTTTTAATAGTCGATATACCCGTTTTTTTAGCCTTTAGTTTACACACTTCTTTCCTTACCAACCAAATGAAGTTTTTTGAGAGAGAATGTAAAAAACTAATTATTTATTAACAAAAAGAGACTGAATTTTTATGTCGTAATGAAAGAACTGAGTAGGAAAAAGAGCTCTGAAAAATTGATAAACTTAATACGCTAACTGCAGCTGCTTTAAATGAGTCTTTTATTGGCCAGAAGCCATTTGCCTTTTATATATTATCTCCTTTCCGTCCACCCACGTCCACCATGAAATCTCGTACGACTTAACGAGATTCTCGCCGTCCCAGCCAACGAGAGGTGCGTGCTAAGCCCCGCCCACTTTACTAGTTTCAGTTTCAGCATTCGGACGTGTTATCTAGCAGTCTTCTGTGTACACACACGCTCACACATACCTGCCTATCATCAACCTTTTTGTATTGTATTGTCTATTTATCTATCTACACGCACACAGTTTTTTTTTTGTTTTTTTTATATATATATATATATATACACACACACACACGCAAGCACGAACTTGGAAAAGGAAAGTAAAACTGCAGCTAACGCATTCTTTTTTTTTCTGCAATTCTTTTTAAGAAAATTTGGTCGAGTTGAGTGTGATTGAGAAATTGAGAGAAGAAAAGGGGGGTTCGTAAATAAGTATCCTTTTTTGCACATATTTACACACACACATATATATATATATATATAATATAATATATATATATATATGTACTGTAACTTTATAAATTTATTGGTACACATAACTAAACCTAGAAATAAGAAAAAGCTAGAACCAATTTATTAGCGAAAAAACAGGATTTAATCTCGCACCCAGTCAAGAGAAAGATTTTAATTGAAACCGTAACATTTACCTTATTTACTTTGAACTCGTCAACAAAGAGCACCTCCATCGATAAAAAATGGCCGAAAACGGAGACATTGGAGAAGCAACCCCCAAGACTGAATTGGAAGAAATTCAGCAACAATGCAATCAAGTAACGGACGATTCGCTGGAAGCGACCCGCAGAATGTTGACCATGTGCGAAGAGAGCAAAGAAGCCGGTATACAAACCCTTGTAAATTTGGACGAACAAGGGGAACAGTTGGACCGCATCGAAGAGGGCCTGGACCAGATCAACCAGGACATGAGGGATGCAGAAAAGAACCTGGAAGGGATGGAGAAATGTTGTGGCCTGTGTGTATTGCCCTGGAAAAAGGCTAAGTCATTTGAGAAGAGCGGAGATTATGCGAATGCTTGGAAGAAAGATGACGACGGCCCCACCAACACGAACGGACCCCGGGTTACGGTCGGGGATCAAATGGGACCTATGGGTGGATATGTTACACGTATCACGAATGACGCCCGTGAGGATGAGATGGAAGACAACATCAAAGAGGTGTGCGGCATGATTGGGAATCTGAGGAACATGGCCATCGATATGGGTAACGAAATCAACTCGCAGAACAGGCAGATTGATCGGATTCAACAAAAGGCCGAATCCAACGAGAGCCGTATCGACGAGGCTAACAAGAGGGCCACCAAATTACTCAAGGATGCTTAAAAATCCAAAGCGTTTAAAGGCAAAAGCGAAAATGTTGAAAGGATTCAAGAAACGTAAAATGAAATGAAAAAGAAAGAAAGTGAGAAAGAGAGCGCGAGTGAGAGAGAAAGGAGAGAAAAAAGTTAAAAAAAAAAAAAAAAAAAGAATACACAAAAAACGAACTTTTCTTTTATTTTTATTTGCTTACCCTTTCCCCCAACCCCGAGTTTTCTTACTCCACCCTAAACCCCACCCCTCATGTTTTGTTGTTTTTATTTTAAAAAAAAAAAAAAAAAAAAAAAAAAATTGCTGCACGTTTAAAAAAAAAAAAAAAAAAAAGAAAGAAAAAAAAGATTAATTTAGTTTTAATTTTTTAAGGGGGAGGGTAAAGGGGAGTGGTCATTATTTTTCCATTAATTTTCTATTTTATGGAATGAAAAACAAAGGTAAAAGGGTCTTCTTCATAAATGTAAAAAGGATATTATTTGCAGATACATTGTTGTCTGCGTGTGTTTTCATGTGTTCCCATTTAGAACAATGTCTTGATCCTCTTCTTTCCTTACCCAACAGACCCGTTCTTACCCATAAAACTATAGTTTGTTTTTTTTACTTTGCTATTCAAGCCAAATTTCTACATATGTTTACATGTCTAACCTTCACATCATCTCATTTTTCAAAATAGTTCTGTAAACACTTTGTGGAGAGATACTCCCTGATCAAGGAAATTAAAAAAAAAAAAAATCCCCACCCCACCATCCAAAGATGCTTATAAAACATTTTGACCATTATTATTATTATTATTTTAATGCAGGTTCAGAAATTATATTTAGTCCTAGTATTCTACAATGCTATTATTTTCAGTTAAAACATAAAAAATGATTACAGAAAAAGAAAACATCTTAAGTAAAAAATGTTTATTTTTTAATTTGAGTCAAACATTCCATTAAATTAAAGAATGTACTTTTCATTATTTAAACAAATATATATTTCAGTTCTATTAAGACTGAATGCCATTTTGGAATTATTTTTTTTAAATATATTTTTCAAGGTTAAAAAAAAAAAGAAAAAAATTCATTTCATCTTAATTTTTAGAAAAGAGATTTAAAAAAAAAAAAAAAAAAAAGTTATAAAAATATGTTTATATTTATTTTACACCATCACACACAAAAATATACCAGAGAAAAGAAATACCTACCATTTGGGCTTTTTATAGAAAACAAACTACACAAAATTCATAGTGAAAGTAACTGAGTCAAAAAACAAAGTCCTGCTACCAAGATTATATATTAAATTATAACATAATTCACTTCAATTATCAGTACTTAATGATTAACACAGAAAACATTATCTTGCGGGTACATTGGATTTGAAAGAAACAAAAAATATACAAAAAACAAATAATGAAACTGTATATTTAAATTTTTATATTTGTTTTATTTTGTTTTGTTCTTGTTTTTGTTTTTGTTTTTTATTGTTTTACAGTCAGGCAAAAAAAGAAGGCAGGCAAAAAAGATGCTAACATCCACTGGAAAGCCATTTGCAACCTGAAGGAGCCGATGTAGACATATATATGCACGAGTGTATAGATCTCAAAATGCAGATGTGTGTGTGTGTGTGTGTGTGTGTGTGTAATTTGTGAATGTCTATGCAACACTTAAATTCAAAAAAGAAAAGTACACAATAGCAAAAAGGAAAGAAAAAAAAATAAAAACTTTTTTTTTAAAAGAGGAAAGAACAAAAAAAACCATCCACCTACCAACAGCAACACAAGAAAAGCAAATACCTTTTCTTAAATATTAACAGCAATTATTTACTTCAACTTTTATCACTATTATTATTGTATTCACCAAATTTGAGTAATTTATGGAAACAAATGGGAAACAAATTTTTTAAAAAAAGCCAGGAAAAAAGTCTAAAATTAGGAATAATAATAATAATAATAATAATGACGGAGTTTAAGATATTTTGTAATTTGAATGTTAATAATTCTAATAATAGCTGAAGGCAAATTGATTCATTTGGAATGAACAACAACAAAGAAAAAACAAATCAACTTTAATTTTCAGGCTAAAGAAAGTTTTTTTTTTTTTTTAAGAAATAAAAATAATTTCTCTAAGAAAAATAAAAAGCAAAAACCAAGAAAGAAAGACCAAGAAAAGTGAATATGAGAGCAAAAAGAAAAACAAAAACAAAAAAAAAAAAAAAAAAAGAAAAGAAAAGTGACTGTAAAAATGACCTGAAAATTACCCAATTAAATACATTCACTGGATTAAAATAAAGAAAAATGAAAAAATAGTGGAAAAAAGTCAAGAGAAAGAAAATTGGAAAAAGAAAAAAAAAAAGGGAATGAAAAAAAAATTCTCTTCTACTCTTTCATCTTCATTCTTCTTCAGCCTCTTTTACTCTCTTAGCCTCAATGAATAACATTTGGGTGAATGATAGTCGAAAATTGGGATGGATTTACCTTAAATAACAGGTGAGAGACTGTTTTTTGTTGACTCGGCTTCATTATTTTAATAATAATAATAATAAAAAGAAAACTTAAATTTTTCTCTCTTCTCAGCCTCCAACATAGAAATGGCAGCCATTGCAAATAAGATTATTTGGCTTGCCTTTCTTTATTCCCTTTTGGTATTGAAAATGAGCACTACCCCTCCCATCCCATCATCTTTTCCAATCCCCTTCCATATTATTATTATTTGAAATATGAAAGATCATCTTGTAAAAGATGAGAATTTTAGATGAAGCACCATGATTACACTGCTAACCTCAGAATCCCTAAATTTCCCCTTTCCCAATCTTAATCCTGGCACATGAAAAGCATGCCTGCACAGGTTCAATCCCTGCATGGTTCTTAGATATTTATTACAAAAAAAAAAAAAAAAGTATCATCTTTTTTGACATTCATGCATGCTTCATATTGAGAAAAACAAAAAACAAAACAAAACATTTGCATCAAATAAAAAACACTGAGTTGGGACAAAAGGTAAAAGTCATTAATCAAAAAAATAAAAAAAAATAAGAAAGATTTATCAAAAATTAATTGTATCAGAAATAGCGAAACAAGTAATAAAAGAATATTTCTGGATAAATTATTCACATTACATGGAGGTGCTGAAAAGTTCTCAGCCCAAATCACTTCCAAAAATATGACCAAACATCTGTTTTTTTTTTCAGTGTGTGTGTGGGGGTAAAAAAACTTTTCAGCACCCCCTCATATAAAGATGTTATTAACAAACAAAAAATTTATAATTTAATGTCCAGTAATCTTTGAAATATATATTATATATATATATATATATATATATATATATATATATATATATATATACGGGGGTGTATATATATATATATACGGGGTGTAGAGGAAATACCTCTCACATATACCTCTTCTTGTCTTACCATTATGTGGGTAGTATTTCTGCAGCACCCTGTACACACATAATTTTATCCTGAAGGACTCATTATTTTGACAATGCGGAAGAAGCCTCACCTTTCACTATTATTATTATTATTAATTTCCTCAAATTTATTTCTTTAAATCACAACACATTTTAAAATGTTTTTTTTTTAAACATCTCTGAAGATGAAAGGAACAAATCAAAAATTAGTAAATTTTGTACCAAATCATAAAACAAGGCTGGGGGTGACAAGAAAAAAATATTGTGCTTATTAAGAAATCCAACTTGCACTCCTACAGTGACATACACTAAAGTTCAGGTTAAATTTGACCTAAAATGATGACAATAATAAATTTCTAGTGAGGACCCCGGCATCACTGGATTACAACCACAAGCTTAACAGATAAAGCAAAGATTAGGGGTTTATATTACTGGCTGTGGTGCATCAATAAACCCCCGAGGGTTGAGAGAGAGAGAAACAAAATGGAACCGGGCAAATTTATAAAATTTGAATGGTTGAGGAAATGCTGAAAGATTGCACGACAAATAGTTCAATTCCAATTGATGGCTGAATAGAAGAAGAAGGTAAGTAAACAAACCAAACAACTTCCATGTTATTTGTCAATAACGACCAGACGTTGGAGAATCTACCAAGTAGTAATACCATGAATTAAAGTTTGTCACAAATACACTTGCAGGTAAAGCTTGTTAAAATCAGAAGTCTGGATTGTTACTGAGACATTTTGGGGACACTGACAATCCACCCCCTCAAAAAAAATTAAAAAATTAGCAGTTAATATAGTACGCAACAAATTTCGATACCACTGAAGCATCAATACTGATGATGAATGAAGTTGATTTCGCCCAATATTAAAACTTATGGATAGATTCAATGGTTTAAACTTTGAACCGAGTTGGAGGGAAACTACATAACAAAACTAAAAGCGTAACTGGCAAAAGGGTTTCAATCTCATATACAAGATGATTGAAATTTCACAGCAACATTTCATACTAATAAAAAGGTCAAAATACAAAACCTGGAGAGGACATGGGGGCTACTAAATTAGGAGTATAAATCTGGAAAAAAAAAACCTACAACAGATAATCATGGACTAGTCACACTAACAACCCTTTTTTTTTTAGAAATCAAAAAATAGGAAAAGCATTATTATGTATGTCATTACTTTGATAAAAATTAAAAAAAAAAAAAAAAGAAGTCTTTTAGGCCCTCTTTCAGATCAGCTAAAATAAATAAAAATATCAGCATATATTAACATTTTAATAAATATCAACATATAACTTACACATTAGTATCTCTCTCTCACACACACACACACACAGTCATCCATTTATAAGCATATTTTAAGCATTTATTCTTCACTGAGAATAGAAAGAAAAAAATCCTCTTTTCTGAATGTTATCTATTTTAAGGCAATGTAATATTTAATAGGTTTGTATCACAACATTTCTAGTTCAGTTGGTTGTGGAAAAAAAAAAAACCTATTTGTATAATATGAAGATATTGACACAAATTCATGTTTATTTTATCTGGTTAAATATCAGTAAATATGAAGAAGTCAGTTTTTAAAGGAAACATTCAGTTTTTAAACTAATTCACAA